GTAAACTTCTTCCTTTGGCAAACTCTATGTAGAAATCTCTAGATACAAAATAATTTTAGTAATGCTTAAATTAGATATTAAGAGAAGACAAAATTTTTTGATTAAATTAGAATTACCTTGATTAGAGTTTCGAGCGGTTGACGAACCCCACTAGGTTTTGTCAAAAACTGGTGCTTCCTTTTCTTTATATTCCGGTCCAATGCGTTCGTTACCAACGCCAGAGACACACTGTACAACTGAGTCATGTTCCCCAACGGCGCGCCCAACGCACTCGCGAACCTACTCTTCGAGTCCACGAGCCCGTCATAGCACGTCTGTTGGTTCGTAACTACCCCACTTAGCAGACTCGTGACTTCATCCACCAACTCGCCCTTCATCGCCTCTGCCGCCTTCAGCTCGGACGAGATCCTCTCTAAATAACCCACGTTGAGCTCCGCCAGCTGACCGCAGTCCTGCATTGCTAGGGTTTCCAAAGGGGACATGGCGGCGGCGCGGGGGTGGCCAGCGAGGTAGTGGTTGATGATGTTTGAGAGTTGACGAGCTTGCTTAAGACATTGCTTGACGGTGAACTTGCCGTAGTGGTAAGGGTCGGAGGGGGGGAATTTGAAGGCGGAGAGGATGGAACGGCAAAGTTTTGGGTAGAGGGTGGACTTGCATGCGATTGAAGGTGGCTGAGCAGCCGGAGGGGGTAGTTGTTGAGCGGAGGAGAGAAGGAGGAGAGATAGGAGGAAAGCGACGGAGAATTGCATTGATGGCTTTCGGCTTAGTTAATCATGTGTAAGTGATACTACTGCAGAGAGAAGACATTAGTTAATATAGAGGTGGTGGTGGTGGTGGTTGTTGAGGCATTAGGAGAATCAAATAAATTGGAGTTTGATTAAATCCTACGGAGTAATTTTTTATTTTTAAATTAATTTAAGTTAATGGGCTAGATGGGATCTCTATGACATAAATTAATGTAATTTATTTATTTTCAAATATATATCTACTCTAAAGTTTCTATAAAAAATTACAAGTTTGACTGATTCTTTCTAATACTTTGTCTTTAACAATGTTTTGTTTAAAAATAAGAGAAAGCGCGTGAAATATCAAGATCTTGAGTTAAAAAAAGAAAAAAATAAAAAAAAAGAGAACTTTTTGTTGGCCAAAGACCAAAAATAAAAATGGATAAAATTGACTAACAAAAGTTTACCAATAAAAACTTTTGATATAATTATTTAATTTATAGCTTCCAGCTTAGCTTCTAAGTGAACCCTTTAACTAGAAGTTGATAGTAGCTTTTAATAAAGTTAAAGGGTTTGTTTAATTTATATTTAAGGTATAGATTAAGAGTATATTAAATATATTTTTATTATAAATTTATATTAAAATAATAAAAATTAATTTTTAATTAAATTCATTTAATATTAAAATTAAAATTTATATTTTTTTATATATATTTATAATAAAAAATATATTTAATACATTCTTCATCTATTCCAAAGATAGAGGTTAAAATAATCCAATCAAGTTTCACAAATTTGATGACAGCTAGTTATAAACATATATGAGACAGATGAAATCAATTCATATTTTTTTGTTAAAATCAAGAAATTAGGCAAAGGTTAAAAAAATCCAATCACGTTTCACAAATTTGATGACAGCTATTTATAAACATATGTGACAGAGATGAAATCAATTCATATTTCGTTAAAATCAAGAAATTGAGTAGGAAATTTATAATTATAAATTATAATGCACGGTAGTGCAAAGCATAAGGACTCGAAAAAAATTAATAAATGCACTTATTGACAATTCATTTAATTTTTAAAAATAAAAAACAACATCTAATTTATTAATAAATTAATTTAAATTATTCACATAATATTTATATTAAAATTGATTTTATATTTCTTTAAATAACTTAAAAATTAAAAAATATATCTATTATATTTTATTACTTTGTCAAATTCAGTTGTTTTGCAATTTAAATAATAATAATTTGATTTAATAATTTGATTTTTTTACTTTAATAATACATTATACATTAAAATTTTATTCACTTAATTACAAATAAAAATAACAAATTTTTCACTAGGGAAACGACTATAGGGCTGGCTCGTAAAATACATCCTTTTAACTTGAAAATTGAAGTTCGATTCCTTTTACTTTCAAATTGTAACTTAATTTTAGAAAAATAAGAATAACAAAATTTAATTATTATAACAAATAAAAATTTTTAACAATGATAAATAATAAATAAAACAAGATAAGTAAATCTATTTGTAAAAGCACAAGTTAAAACAAGGATTCAAAGTTTAAACATAATTTTGGTAGGGTCAAGATAAGACAGAAAAGAAGGTACGATGTGAAAACTGAAAAGGAAACGTGAATTGGGGGGCATTTTATTGGAGTTACTGCCCGTGTCGGTTAGGCAATTCAGACACGGAAGTATTAATGCATGTGGGGGCATCCATCGATCGGAGAGCTCAACTGCGCAAGGCCAGAGCAATCTCCCCAGTCGCCAGTAATAATTTTGTACGAAAAAGAAAAGACCGGTTATAATTATTCTGTCTCTCAAAATATTAACTGTAGTAGCACCTAAAAAGGAATTTAATTTTTTTAAAATAAATTTTAATTTTGAATCTACAGTTATTAAGAGTATTTTTTTTTTAATGAAATCTTATTCCACTTGATTTTGATTTAATCAAAAGTTAATATGATTTTTAGATATTAAAAAATTAATATCAAATATATATATGGGTGGTATTATAAAAATAATTTTTTATTTTATTTTTTTATATAATTTTTACATATCATTAAATGAATAGATACATTTAATATCACAAATTTCGTATGAATTAAAAAAATTAATCATTTTAATAACACATCATGTTATACAAAAATATGAGATAAAAAAATTATCCCAATAACATTTTCATATATATTAACTTTTTTTTATAGAAATTTTTACATTGTGCTTTTAGTGTATAGTTTAAAAATATATTTATTATATTTTTATAATTAATTTATATTAAAATTTTAAAAATGATTTTAATTGTATCAATCATTTAATTAATAATATGCATGCAATATTAATGATAATAATCAAGTCAACTATTATGATTTTTTTTATAAAATTTAAATGTAAAATATATAATTAATATACTTTTAATATATGCATAGATGCACCTGATCGTTTGGGTCAACTTGAAGGTACAGTTCCTCCTCTTCTAGTGGGTTTGAAGTTCGAATTCCACCGATGACACTTTATTTAAAAATATATATATATGCATAGATAATTTTTTTATTTTAAAATTATTTTAAATTATTTTTTATTTAATATTACTACTCTCTGTAACTAGATTTAAATATTTAATTATTATATTTTCTAAATAAAAATGATCTGATTTAATTGTCTTACATTTTATTTTAATAAGATAATAAATGTCAATATTGTAATTTTACCATTGTCTCTAAAGAATCATATTTTTTTTGGTTTAATTATAAGTAAAAGTAAAAAATAAATTTTAAATTTTAATTATTATAATAAATAATTTTTTGATAATCATAAATGCATAGAGCAAAATAACTAAATTTGATGACATGAGTACTAGTAATGTAGTTTTTTTTTAAGTAAATAAATAATTTTTTTATTTTATTATGTTATTATCTATTTCCTTTAATTAATTATTTCAAATAAAAAAATCTCTCTATATTTGTTTTATTTTTTAAAAAAATATTATGATTAAACACATAAATTATCTAAAATTTTTATTTTTATTTTTTTAAAGTCAATATAAGTAGTTACTCATATTTGGAAAGAGACTAATAAGGTGTGCAATGTTCGGAGTGAAAGCAAACACATAATCATCA